AGAAAATCAAACTTACAAAACTCAACTGGATCATTATATCTAACAAAGCATTTAGAAAAATATCAAGCATCGACAACAATAAGGCAAGAATAGAAAAAGAAAAACCAAAATATGAGTACTGGGTTGAAGTAAACCTTACAAGAGCATAGCAGTTTAATTGGATTATACCAAACTATAAGTGAGAGCCTTGGCAACTGCAATGACTGAGTCAGCTGGATATGGGATATGGAAGGCTAGATTTACCTCGAGAGTATCCTTGTATCCGCTCAATAGAGGAATGCAAGCCAGTAATTAGTCAGTACAAACCCAGGATAAGTTACGAAAGTCCTAAGGCAGGGTGCGCAATCTAGTAAAACGGGCCAGATGGTAGTTCCCAGATTAGTATGATATGCTAATAAATAGTTAGGATCAAAAAGTTTAAATGAGTAACTCTCTAGTTGGGTTATAGGTATGGCATCTAGTATGGAACTTGTAGGCAGACTGTTTAAATAGGCACTCAAAAGGTGTACATGTGGCTAGTTGTATTTTTATTGTAACTATAATAGTAAATGATTACTAATAAAAAGTCCTTATAGCCAAAGAGGTCACTTTAACACTAAAAAAAAAAAAAATTAAAAGATTAATAAATTTTTTTAGATATTTAATATTCAATAATAATTTTTTTTCAATTTTAATATCTTTCACTTTTTACTGTATTCTTAACAACCAAATATATTCAAATTTTACATACTATAGTAAAATTTTCAATTAAATAATAAACTTAAACCTGGTACTTATATGATCTAATTCATTTTTTTTAAAACTTATATTATAAAAATTTGAAAGACTATATATAAAGTAAAAATAATTTGTATAGCTTTGTAAAAGAAGTATTAATATTTCTTTATACCAAGTTTGGTATTAATTTATCTTACAATTAAGATTAAATAATCATTTAAACCTTTTAGAAAATGAGTAGACTAAATAAGCATCAATTATATTATAAAAAAGCTACACAAAAAAGTCTTGAGAGTAAATGCAAATCTGCAATTTATAAATGCTTTTTTTCTAATATAAGCCAATGACAACTAAATTCAACCTGTAAAATGGTAGAAAAGTTAGTTGATAATAAGAAGAAGAAAAAAAATAAAATAAATTAATTTCTATGATCCAAGAATTATTACCAAAAGAGGCATCCTCAGCAAATTACATAATTAGTGTAATGCGATATCTAAAAGGTACACAAGAAGGGCAAATATTATCACCATATTTACAAGACAAAGCATTAGAATTTATTCAAGATTCTCTTTATAAATTAACAACATCTAAATTATCAAAAAAGACTAATAAAAAATTGCAACATGAAGTTCAAAATTAAAAAATCAGAACCTAAAATTAATTTACAAAACACAATCGATAGGATCAACAAATCAACATCTACAAGATAAAAGGATATATGAAATTTCTCAAATCCGTTTATATGTTTGAAAATTTACATCTTTTTCTTCTGAACAATTTAAGCAACATGTTAAATTATTATTTAAAAAAAGCAAGTAGCAATATTCAACAGATTTAATTTAGTTGGCTATACAAATAATACAAATTGAACAAGTTTCTATATGTTCAGCTACAGAGTGTACAAAATTAGTATATGAATTTCTAATTGGAGAGTCTTCTAAAACTTGGTTTTCATATATTACATTATCTTTATAGTATAAAGATATTTCCAAAATATCTACTAATTCTTACCTTAATGAAGTCTGAAATGCTACTAGTTACAAAATTATAGTTGATAAATTCAAACATAGTAAAATTAAAAACTTTATAATATGTTTTAAGTTCTGGAGTTTTATTTATAATGAACCTTTAATTACAATAATACACCTTCAAGATATTGATAAATATAACAGAAAATTAGTATCAGAAACAGTTCAAATAATAATGAAAAATTTTTAAATTGATTCTAACAAATACTTTGTATAGCTATTAGACAACTCTGCCTATATGTCAGGCAATTATAATAGTGCAACTGTTCTTTTTAATAAGTCAACAAAGTCTAGATCAATAAGGATTGAATATGGATTACACATTATGCATATTGTATTTAATAGCTTTGAGCAGGCTGCATTTGGAAAACTTCCTTCAACTATTAGTTTTACGAAAGTTATATATCCATATAATTTAGCTTATCTAGCATGGGAATTGCATGATGGTTATAATATGAGTGATAATGATAAAGCTATGAATAAAACTGGAAAAAAAATTAAAGAATTATATTAAAGCTATTTAGGTTTATACTTTACTCAATATCAATGACCAATTCGTAGTTACTGGGGCTACAAATTGCAAACTCTCAAACAATATTTGGAATGTTATCTATTGCATTTAAAGTTTGCTAGTTGGTTTATACAGCAATTAGAAAAACTTCATAAACCTCCTCAAACATATCTTCAGAAGTGGTATCTTTTCTTACAATGGATGCAAAATCCAAAATTAACTATTCAAACCAAATGTTTAGTATGATTCGGAACATATTTCTATGAACCGTTAGTACAATTCATAGTTGGACAAGATACTGAACCAAGAATATTACATAAAAATAGTTTTAAGAAACTTCTAAATGGTCATCAGGCACATGAAATGCCTGATTAAGTATCTGAATGGATTAGTTATTTAGATGATATTAAAGAAAACTTTGAACTTTACTTTGCTGATGAATTGTTAATCTTTTAGATACTGAACAATTTAAAGAAATTCTTAATGATCTTGAGAATGGGGTTCAAAAAGCATTTGACTATTCTACAAAGTGGATAAAATCTTGGTGTTATTTACCATTGTCTATTTGTCAATTGGAAAGTAATTCTGGTCAATCATTTGCTCGAAGTTTTTACCACATTGCTTTAAAACAACCTTGGATAAATGTTCTGAATGAAACTGAAATCAAATTCGCAAAGGAATTAGAGGATGATTTTGCTGATTCTAATACTGATGACTTTGGATTCCCTGTAAAAAAAATTAAAAATAATCAGATTTTGTTCAGATTATTATTTTTAAAAATGGGCATTTTTCGTAATAAGAAGCTATATAAAACCTTTTTAAATTCTCTAAATTTCCTGAATATTTCCGATTTCCTGGTTATAATTTTTTTTTTCAGCATAAGATTATAACCAGGAAATCAGAAATATTCAGGAAATTTAGAAATATAAAAAGGTTTTGTATAGGTTCTTATTACGAAAAATGCTCATTTTTAAAATTAATAATCTGAACAAAATCTGAATATGATTTTTAATTTTTTTTTATAGGGATTGTCTAGATTATTGTTGGAGGATAATTATTTCCGACATGAATTTGAGGAATTCTGTACATCAACAAACCCTTCATTACATCGCTATCCTTGCATTTATGAATTTGTCAAAACTAAAATTTATAGCATTATAATCCACAAACAGCAACTCGAAGGATTGTTCAACAAATTGGATTTAAAAACGCATAGTAATATGACAATGGACCTTCGAGAATCAAAATTACGGTTAACTACAGCAAAACTCGACAAGGAAAATTTAAAAGCCGGAAATGATGAAATTCGCTCTAAAAGAAACAAGTCAAAGAGCACTTTTTCAGGAGTACCAAGTCAATTAGACAATCTTCAAGCTGAGCAGCTATTTGAGCGTATGTTTAGTAAATAAGATAAATTGTAGATTTATTATATCGATATTTGCAGTTTGCTTTGAAAAATAATCATAATATAAATAAATAAATATGATTTAAAGCTTTAATTAATTAATTCATTAAAAAAAAGTATTACGATTATTACGTATTATTTTTTTTTTTGTAATGATAATTATAATGGTAAAAAATCTGCAATATTGCAAATTTATATGGGACTAGACATATGTTAAATGATCGGCCACCCCAACGTGTCACTAGTGCCTCCATTTTAACACTTACAACCTACTAATATAACTTAATCAGCCATTATACACAAACTCTAATCGATCAAATTTACACTTTGCATCTTAATAACAAACCCTATCAGGCATTATGCACCGGTAAGGACATGTATAAAACAACCTCAGGAACCACATATAGAGTAACATCACAAATACAACCTCCTAAATCATTTTCATCTTTCTTTTTTTGATAATACGATGTAAGATTACATATTTTCGTCACTAATGCTTCTAACTTACAAGATATTATCACTATGAAAGTCCATATGAACGTATCCAACTATATGAATACCCCGTGAATCACGTGAAATACCTAGTAGGAGATACGTATAATTTAGTCTTTTTGTAAAAACTTGTGAAGACTTCCATTATCGTCATATTGAAATACCAAAAAGAAATATTTGTTTGTTTCTGTGTTGTGAGTCAATTCGTATATTTTAAACTTACTTACGGATAAGACACATTTAATGAGATTGTTAAACTTTATAAGTTTATACGGGAGAAATCAGAAATATCTGATATGTTTAATAATTGTACTTGACGAAATTAGTGATACGGGCCGATGAAAAAAATCTCGGGTCAGGCCGGCCTAGGCTAACCAGCTTGGGGCGGCAGATCAGGACTGACCTTTCTATGAATGATTTTGAATGATACTCAACATTCCTCATTCTTCAAACATCGATTCGACTTTTTTTTTCTACTCTAATAAGAGATTCGTATTCAATATTGTCTTATCATCTACTTTCTGAAGATACCCGGCTGATATTTGGGCTGGCCCGTATAACTAGATGAAATTAATATAATTAATTTATTTATATAAAATTATGGCAGATTTTTCAAAAAGTAATATTTAGGTATTTGACGAATTTTGAATATCTCATAATTTTATTATTTTTAAGGCCCAATTTACAAAATCCGCATGTATGTCAAGTCAATCGTGTAGAAAATATTACAGAACGTGCAAATTTAGTAAAATTGTGTGTAACTATTTATTTGTTCTACATTTCCACTACTGTACGGTTTTATAGACCAATCTCTATTACGGTTCTTTTTAAAAATTGAGATAAAGATGTGGTTTACAATATATGATATTGTTTTATTATTCTTTGAATTAGTGTTAAATGCTTTTTTTCGTGAAGTCAAAACGCAAGGATCACATAAAATTCCAAAAGAGGGGCCAGTTATTATCGTTGCTGCACCACATGCAAACATGGTATGGTTAACTTCTAATATCATAGCTTATAGAATAGATAATAACTCGATAAACCATTTCCGTTTTATAATAGTTCGTTGATGGAATGGTTTTCACAAAATGTTGTCCACGGCCAGTTTTGTTAATGATTTCGATAAATGCTACAAAATACAAATATGTTGGTTCCTTGGCTCGCAGCATTAATGCAAGCAAGTGATTTATCATCATATTCTTCGTTAATCTTCACAACAGCAATTAATCTAGAACTTCTCTTATTCAGTTACATTGGAAAGGCCAAAAGACTTGGCTGAGATAGGGAAAGGAAGGATATTGCTGAATCAACATAAAGAAGGTTCTCTTCATATAATTGGTATTGATACGGAATTTACAAAGCAATTAAAAGTGGGAGGTCAAATTGCTTTGCCGAATGATTATGGTTTATCGGAAATATCTGAAATATTATCGGATACAGAATTGGTGATCAAAAAAGAATTCAAAGGTTTAAAAGCTTTAGAAATTTTAACACAATCCAATGGAACGTCTTATAAATACTTACCACATGTTGATCAAAGTTATGTCTATAAGACTATGATTGGGTTGCTAAATGCTGGAAAATGCATTGGATTATTTCCGGAAGGTAGAAGTCATGATCGAGCCGAACTCTTGGCTTTAAAAGGTTAGTGTACTACTGTATTTTTGATTCGTTTTTTTTTTTTTTTTTTTTTTTTTTTTTTTTTTTTTTTTTTTTTTTTTTTTTACAAATTTGTTTACCGTCTTAGGGGGTGTCGCTAATATCGCTTTAGGTGCCATGGCGGCAAATCCTAGTCAGGATATCAAAATTGTTCCATGCGGTTTGTTAAAACGGTTGTGAATTCATTATTGATAAATCTCAAATATGCTAACACTCGAAATCATATCCTTCCGTAGGTTTGAATTATTTTAATGCTCATCAATTCCGTTCTCGTGTCATTGTTAAGTTTGGTTCACCTATTTCAATTCCACTTGAATTAATTGAGAAATATAATAGTAAGGATAAAAAGGAGGCTTGTGATAAATTGCTGGGAATTATTTATAATGGATTGAAATCAGTAACAATTAATGCACCAGATTATGAAACGTTAACTGTATGTTTGAAATTTATATATTACAGTACCTCCAATGTAAACGTTAAATAATTTTAGTCTTAAACGTTATTTTGTAGGTCATTCGCACAGCTCGTTATTTGTATAAATATTACAATAAATTAGGGATTCATGATGAATTGAAATTAGATCAAAGGTTTATTGATGGCTACACAAAATTTAAGGATAATCCTCACGCCCAAGAGACGCGCAACGAAATAATAGAATACGCTCGATTATTGAAATATCATGGATTAGAGGATTATCAAGTCCAGCAGGCTACTGTTAAAGGATTTAAAGCTTTAATGATATTGCTATATCGAATGTTACTTTTAATATTGTGCAATATTTTATGTCTTCCTGGTAAGTTTGATTATTTGAAATTTAATTAAAGGATTCCATCTGTTGCTAATATCTAATATTAATTTTGTGGTTTTTTTTGCTTAAAAAAATATAAATGCAATATAAGGACTATTATTAAATCTTCCAATAATTATAGACGCATATTTAGTCAGTTCCAAGAAAGCAGGTTTTATTTTATTTTATTTTATTTTTATTTTTATTTTTATTACTAAAAGGATTTTTTTCGCTGTCTTTATTCAGAGATTGCCAAAAAATCATGTATAATGATCGAAGGACATCATGTTATAGCAACGTGGAAAATCCTTGTTTTCTTTAGAGACATACCAATCCTATATGGGATTTATACATTTATAATAATGTTTCTATCTTACAAATATCACTGGAATTTTATCTTGAATTTTGGAATATTTTCGCCAATAATCGTTCTTATAATTTTATTTGTATATAATTATATAATGATTCAATTGTTCGATGTTGGAACTGATTTGTATAGGCGAGTTTTTATATTAATATGTATATTTGACGACTAAGTTTTTATCTTTTTTATTTACAGTTAAAATATTCTACGTAATTTCTGTAGATCTTTATTACCTCCTATTTTGTCATTTTGTTCGGCACAATCAATTAGGCATTTACAACAGGTTCGCGATAAGCTTTCAACTAAAGTAACTGAACTAATCAATAACTTTAAAGAAACAAATAACATGTGCTAAACCACATTTAAAGTAAAAAAAAATATAACATAATGTTAAATAAATAATATAAATTACGCCATGGCGTTTGGCACTAAGATAAAAACTTTGCCAAAATTAGTTATTCGAATCATCTATCTCACAAAATTTTATAACGATATCAAGTTTCAAAGATATATTGAGGGCGTTTGTTTAATATTATGTATTTTATTTATATGAAAAAGGTGCTGATTCAATGAGTAAGAATAATATTTTTTTGAACTAATAAATCAAAATTTACGTAACATATAGTAGGAGTAATAAATGATGCGTAGAAATATATAAAAAACAGTAATATAACAGATATAGTATTTCTTTTTTATGTAAGTTCAAATTTGAATGTAATTTTTTGTTTAATTTAATCATCGTCAGATGTGATTAGAATCAATTTAGTTTCGCCATCTCGTACAACCTTCACCGTATTGTTGGTGTTAACGTTATCTATATATGTATATATAAAATATTTATACGTATAAACTTGAGTAATCTTAACATATCAATATTATACGTATGAACGTCAAAGCATAATACAAATTTAAAAATACCTGAATTTGCCTTATAAATATCAGTATTGTTTTGATCAGGTAAATGTTTTAAAAGTATGATATTACGACTTTTAGCGTTAGTAATTTGGGACGAATAATTGATGTTAATATTGATCAATTCTGGAAACATCAATTCATTTCTATAGATTTTTTTAAGTTTATTTTCAAAATAAGCAAACAAATATTGCGCATTAGGTCTCTCTGAAACCTTTCCACTCCAGCATTGTTTCATTATTTCTTCGTAGTCAGGAGGAATCCCATTAATGGTATCTGGACGGAGACCATTGCAAATTCCATTAACAAAAGGCATGAATTGATCATCAAGATTAATTCCTCTATACGGGGAAAGACCGGTTATTAGCTGCCACATTATTATCCCCATGCTATATATGTCAGATGCTTGAGTATACCCTTCACCGCACAATACTTCGGGAGCAGCGTATGGTGGATTAACATATATATCACCTGGTTCTTGAACAACTGGTCCGCAGAAACCGAGATCACTAATGTACCAGTTGTTGGAGTTATGTCCTTGAAGGATATTTCCAGGATGCAAATCACGGTGGATTAATTCAGAGCCGTGAATTTTCATAAGAGAATATGTAATATCATAAAGAATTTCAATTCTTTGTTGCCAATTAAGAGAAGAAGCATTTTTAAGCAAAAAGTCGAACAAATTGTTTGTCATAGGTTCTAAGACAAGCATAAAGTTTTGAGATTCTGGCTCTTTCGTCAGTCCATAACATTTAACAACCGAATTTGTTCTCATCATGAAATTGAGGTGTTGTTTGACCTACAAGGAATTTTAAGGACGACAATATTTTATGTAATATTTTGAATATAAAATAAAGATTTCCAAGTTTTTATTCGTGGACACTCATTCGATATAAGTTTCTACAATATATTTATAGCGTAATAAAATTGCTACAGTAAATACACATTGGTTGTAAAATAACATACCTCGAGGAACCATCTTTTATTCGGATTACTTGAATTCTCCCAATACTTAAGAATTACTTTTCTGTCACCAGTTCTTTCAAGTTGCTTTTTATCGGCATTCCACCTATCATACCTACCACCAAGCCAAATAGTCGAATAGATACTTGCACAACCACCTGTTGTTTCCAACTTAGGCTTAACAAAATTCCCGTAAGGTATCCACTCGACAATATAATCAGGCCTTATTGTTTTTTTCTGACATTTTCGAATTAAATCATCAATTTCATTAACTCCAGATGACCAATTCGAGAAATTTCTAGTTAAATATCCTCGAATACAGTATTCACAAAATTTCTTTGCATAAGTTGGAGTCTGACACGTTTCACACACTCGAGTTTCACCAATCTCCCTGGAAATGTTGTTCTCTTCAACCCAATTATCGATCCAGGTTTTTAAAAAAATCTTTTCGGATGGTTTGATAGACTCTTCTTTATCAATATTAGATTTAAAAAATTTTATAAGACTATCCTGATTTGTAAATTCTTTATTAGGGATACGTAAAACGGTTTTATTAAGTAAAGGATTCGCAAAATCATAACGTTTTTCATTTTTAATATCCATGAGTTAATTCTAAATCGAGTGAAGCTAGAAAGTTAACGAAAATCTTTTAAATATGATAGGCAAAATAATAACGATTTTCTGTACAGTAGCAAATCCTCAACTATTAAAAAATGTTTATTCCGCTTGCACACTGCGCACACGCGTATATATATATATTTATGAAAATGGTAAAAAGAATGGTATAGAAATTATTATATCCTACTAACCATGTTTAGAAACCTCACAAAGACTTACACGTTATACGTACTAGCATATACCAGCACGTACAAGGTACGTACATACTTACGTACAGTACGTGCTCCTAAGACGTACATAATTCGTGTAATCAGCAACAATCTATTAGTTACATTTTGTTTTAACATTAGAATTATAATATTATCTTTACATTCTTTGTTTATCCAGTAATGTTAGAATGAGTCATGCTAATAGACCTTTAAAGTTCACAGGCACAAAAAATATCGATAATCAGAGAGCCTATTAGAAGCGATTTTTGATACACGATTTAAACGATTCGTTTGTATTATATATCTGTATTCTAGAATTTTAAATAGGAATATGAAACTGAAACAGGAGTAAATACATAAATCGTTTTTAATCTGTCGTGAAATTTATTTTGTAAAATATTTTGTAGTGAGTAACCAAAACATTAACTGGAAAAATGTATGCTTTCGAAAATCTTTTAAGCGTCACATGATACGATATATTTTGTCTCTCATCGAGGGGTGTTACAAATGGAAACAACACTGAAAAAAAACTCGTCCCATTTTATATTATTAACGATTACTAATCGAAAATATATGCCACTACATCACTGAAATCGATAGATCACAACACATCATACGATAAATCACGAAATGCATCAACGATAAATTAATATACACATGTGATCGATTCGAGACAAAAATGCTGCAGCGATACTTTCGTATCGGGCAGATAATTTGCTAACGTTTTGTCTGTTTTGTAACAATGGACAATGAATGTCGATATATATTTATGTGTAATATTATAAGTACATACATCTCATATTGCTGTAATGAGTGATAATAAGAGCTAGATAGTGTTGCATACGAAAATTTCCAAACGCATAAACAAGTCTCTTTTGGCGTTGTATATAGCAATTATCATGAATCAAAGTTTATCGGGGCTATTAGTGTCAAGGTCAATAATTACCATTAATGTATTATGATGAATGAAAACTTATCTATGTACATCAGGAAATTTTTGAAACTGATTGTAATCGATTATAATCTGATGATTTAATCGATTATTATCACCACCGCCGATTACACACGATAAAGATACCGGTATTTATTGATTATAATAAAGCTAATTTATTGCGCTTTGCAAAAAGATGTGACCTCTGCAGATCACAAAGTCGCGTGAAAATCGGAGAATTCTGCAGATTTTAAGAATCTTATTGCTTGATTTCTATTGACTTACCTCTATATATTAAATTAAATTATATATAAAAATTAATCTATATATACAAAATTATAAATAATACTTTTATTATATATATTTAAATTATTAATAATACTTTTTAATAATAATTACAAAAATAGTTTGCAAAAATTCTTCTTAACAATTACTCATACCAAAACTTCATAAAAAACTGAACTATAAAAACCTTATATATATTGTATTTTATACAAACAAAACTCTACTTAGCTACTATTAGGTACAAAGTCCATTTACTAAGTATTCTGTTTACTGAAATAAAATTGAAAAGGATTAATAGCAGATAGTTAAGTAAGGCATCTTGGCAGGCTATAATATTACAAAGCAAAGAAGTAGTAAAGCAACTCTGAAGTTTTGTTAAGCATTATAGATATAAAAATAAAAGTAATTGCTTGCTAAAATATAATACTCTATATGGCATAACTCTTATACTCACTTTTTTAGTATTCTTCTTCTTACTCCTTTGGTCTTTAATACTTACCTGTTTTGGCAATGAAAAATTTTTTAAAAAAAGTAAGCAAAATAGCTTACCTCTGCCAAAAAATCAGCTGTCTATATTTTCTAAATTTGGATGATGTAGTAGATAGCAACTACATGTTTGGTCTAAATAGATATAAAATTACTATTTTAAACTAGCCCCAGATCAAGGTATCTTTGAAAGCAGCAGCAGTTAGCTTGAAATACAGGTTCTCAGATAGCACCTAGCTTGAGATATGAATTAAGAGTAGATCAGCTAAAAACTTCTAAACTTGGTTTGTCAGAATAAAAGAAAATTTAGTAGTAAGACAAAACTTTACAATAGAGATATACAAACTTTGTATCTAAGTAGTATATAATTTTTTAAACCTTGGCACAGGTGATAATAATGCTATCTTGTCTGTTTCTATTTCTTTCTTTTTTATACTTTTTTCAACTTTTTTAATTATAATTGAATAGTATTTAGACTTTTGTTTTCTTTTCTTTTTGTATTTGTTTCTTTTTTTTTTCTTTTGTTTTTTTTCATACACCAGTTTACTTTATGAGTAACAATATTAAATTTCAATCAATTATTATAATTTTTTTTTAAATTTAGATTTAGTTTTAGTATTTTTAGGTTGATTTCCATGGTAAAATTTTAAGATTTTGGCAATTTGCAATTTTTTATATATTGTGTAACTTGCTGAAATTCACAATTTGATTAGATAGGTATTACAATATTTTTAGGTAAAGTAAAAAAAAAATGTGAAACAAGTTGGAATAATCTAATAGCACAGGTCAAATGAAAGTAAATCGGGTACCAATCAGCATCGTGTAGCCCCGATATGAACATTGAAACGGATATTTGGTGCAAATAAGAGACTTTTAGGTTCATATAGGCGTTCAATATATATCAAAAAGCCGATGGCTCTATAGGTAAATTTATAAAGATTTAAGGCAAGCTTTATCGTTTTACCTATAGAGCTATCGGCATTCAGATATATATACTAACGCCTATATGAACGCGATTTGTATCCCAAAGTCACCTATCAGCGTTAAATGTCTGTTACAGATCATGTCATTCGACCTGTGTAGGAATATTATATTGTCAAAAATGTGAATAAAAATATAAATTCTATAGATATATTGTAAATAGTGATAAGTCCAGTAATTTGAATTTGAATTGGACTTATATATTCCAATTGGAATTTATAAGTCCAATATTCCAATTTATAGGCCCAGTTTAACAAAGTTGGTCCAATTGCCCAACACTTAATGTAAATTATTAATTATACTAAACAAACCTGTAACATTTGATATGATATTACAGGAAAAACGGTTAACTTAGAGTTTGGAGCCGGGATTATTTTTCATATGTTAAACCGGTTTTAATCGGTTTTAGTATATGAAAGATAAACCGGTTCCAAACTCTACATTTAACGGATTTAGAGATCAACAAAACTTAGCACAAATTCAGCTACGCAAAAATCCTACAATATTACTTGAGATATAGGCTTTTTTGTTTAACAGACGGTTTCTTGCAA